TTCTCGTAATCATTTTTGACTTTTTGCCTTGTCATGATACCCCCTGCGTAGAAGGTACCTACCCAACTAAAAGCATGTTGTACTAGCGGGACATTGTGCCATCAGGTAAACCTTTTTACGGACCTTCCTCAATGGCTTGATTGTCAATCATGCAGATTACAATCGAAAAGGTCAACATCGGAAGCCTCTGCACCCGACCTTTGCGTATCGTAATGTATCGTTTCTGGTAGCGACATGTGCGTTGAACGACATGAATCTGTCTCATTTGCATGTTTGTGCCATCAAAATCGAACAAATTTGTCACAATGAATAGATGAAGCCACCGAAGCTGTTGTGGATACGAGTTGTTACTAATTGGAACTGCTCGAAAAAAAAAATGATTGACGTTTTGTCGTTGAAGGCTTTGAACGATGTATAGCGCTTTCAGCGAGTAAACTCCTTTTTATGAAATGACAGACAAGCATATTAAATTTGTTTTAACCTGAATACACTCTTTGTCGATGGAAATACTGAATGATGAGATAAAATGTACTAAAATTAATGATGATATTATTGATAAATGGGGGACATGCATAGCGTAGTGGTTTGCATCCATGCCTCTCACGCTAAAGGTCACGAGTTCAAATCTCAGTCCTGGATCAGGCATGGGTAATGAATCAAGGACTTACCGCGGTAAATTTCGTCACGGATCAATGAAATTAATACTTTATTCATAAATTCGATGTTTATTCAACTGATAAATGTTCAAGAACTAACTTGGCGAAGCAATTATAACTGTTTACACGCACCATGCCTAAAAACTAGACCTGTGCGCCGATCAAAATGTTTTCGGCGGCGGCGTGATATGTTATTTTCGCCCGGCGGCGGCGTCACGCCGTCTGCTTTCGGTGGCGGTGGCGTGGCGGCGTTGGTCAGCGTGAGTTTATTTTTAATGATTTAGAAAAAAAAAACTTTCCAAACCATTCGCACATGGACAAAAAATGCTACCCAGAGTTGAGTTCATATTACTCAAAATCGCTAAAACGTAGGTCACTCATAGTTTGAGTAAATTTTCCGACACTTTCCTGGGGAAAACTTCTGATGATGATGATGGTCCCACCTATTACCCCTACAAAGGTTTGAGCAGGACGATTTATCTTTAGGATAATTAAATGTGACGTTTTTTTTTCAGGTTAGCAAACAAATTGAACTGGTTACAGTCACAGATATAAATTCCCTATAGAGTTTACAGTTGCTTCACAGCGATATAAGTATGGAAAAGCTCAGGCGTCCACTTCTTAGTTCGCCTTTTTGTCCACCTAAAATATTCACAAGTATTACAAGTAATCAAGAGTTAACGAACAATCAACAAAGCATCATGTTACACCCCGCAACCTGATGCTATCATAATTTTCAGCAATGTCAGGAATGCTCACGAACCCCCAATATTTGCCAGAAAACTTACTACTAACTCAAGGTATCTTCCAAATAAGCTTCAAAATTGCATTTTTTTTATCAAATTTAAATTCAGTCAGCTCTATATCCGTAATTCGTGCGTGAGGCTCAAACCTTTGTAGACTACTTTTTTTTTATCTACTACTATTAAATAAAATATTAAAAATGCCTCATCACCATCGTGGTAAACAAAAATTGTTTTTGCAGTGCTACAATAATTATTAAAAGTCAGATTATGACAACTATCCATACACAATAATCCGTTAGAGATAACTTCGTCAAGATACATAATATGACAATTCATAAAAAAATTAACGTGTGAAATGCAGTGTCTTTTAAATTCTGAAAGTATTGCTGAACGTCTAGGCATCGAATTGAAAACATTTATTACTTTAAAAAACAATTAATATTGTGAAGCACAAGTCAAGAAATGTGGTGTTCTTATGTCAACCACGTTTCTAGTATATCTATGAAAATCACTTCGTCTTTCAATTCAATCACACAAATATCGAAAATCGTTAACTACTTTAAAAATGAACACTATAAACAAATATACAATTTTTTGCTTCATTTACAACCATTTTAAGGTGTCTAGCATCAAAATTGAGGAAGAGAATTTATTATTTATTCTGGAAGCGCTTTAATCTCGATATTTGTGTTTCATTGGCCAGAAATAAAATGGAAGGGCAAAGGTCTCGATGAGGAGAGATGATTGATATGTTAAGTTGTATTTTTCTGGCAATATTTAAATCGTTTTTAGTCGACATATAATTCCATACTTCTTGGCAATTTTCTTGATGACATTGTCAATGTGAGAGTTGAACTTCAGTTTGTCATCAATAATCACGCCAAGATATTTAATCTCCCGAACGCCATTAATAGTCTCATCATCAATTACAACAGAGAAGTTCTCATTTACTCGATTCCGCGAAATTATCATAAATTTAGTTTTACTTGTATTCAATCTCAGCTTTTTATACTTCAACCATCTACTTAGAGAAAACAAATCTTCATTCAAGTGTAAAACGACATCATCTAAATCCTTAGCTGCAATGAATAACACAGTAGCATCCTCGGTATCGTCTGCAAAATATTAATGCCGCGAAATCGTAAAACACATCGCAGGTCATTAATATACATAATAAATAACAGGGGCCTTAATATACTTCCCTGCGGCACTCCATGGTTATTCCCCACGGGACTGGAAACATAATAATTAAAAGAAGGCCGTTGAGTTCTGTCAGACAAATAGCTTTCAAACTATGTATATGCAGTACTCGTAATTCCAAAGCGCTTGATTGATCTTAACAAAAAGGGCCTAGAAATTGTTTCAAAAGCGTGTTTAAGATCAAAAAAAAAAAAAAAAAACAGCAACAATCGTTTGTTTACACTCCAAGTTATTTGTCCACTTCACTAATTCTTAATTCAACGCAGTTTCACAAGAATGACCTTCCCGATATCCCGATAGTTCTGATATCAACAAACTATTACTATTTAAATTCTCCAACAGCTGGCGTTTAACAACAAGTTCTAAAATTGTCTGTAGTGTGTGCAACATGTTGATGGGACGAAACTCTTCGGCTTTAATCGTTCCAGCAACTTTTTGAATAGGAACCACTAAGGATTCCTTCTAAATTTGTGGCACATGTCCAGTTTGCAATGATTCATTAATAAGGTCCAGCAAGATGTGGCCAATGACATGAAACAATCTTGAATAACTCTACACTGATAAAATTTCAAAGATTGTTTTTATGTGTCCCACACATAAATTTTTGCAATGTGATCAACAAATGATATCTATGTGTTGGACACATACTTAATATGTGTAAACATAAAAGCCATGTGTAACCACACATACTATTAATTTGACTCATAAATGTTATGTGTGCTTCTGGGTGGATTCTATTTATGTATGGTCACATGAAAATCATGTGAAATTTCACATGGAAATTCTTCAATTAAAATGTGTGGAATTTTATTAGTGTAGCATTAACATTATCTACTCCACCCGATTTTCATAATGAAAAACAATTAACTCTAATTTCATCTGTTGTAATTGGGTGAAAACCTTCAAATATACAACTACTATTAACTGGCAGTTTTATTTCGTCATGTTCATCGACCAATTCAATGGATTGATTAATCAATGAAACACGGTCGACAAAATAATCATAAAACTTAGATGCAATTACTTGTTCTGACTTTTCTAATATGTCATTAAGAGTTATGAACCGCGATTTGCAATTACAAAGTTTTAATAAAGGTTTCAAAATTTCCCATAGCTCTTTGCTGTTGTTTTTATGCTGATCAATCTTCCTTTGAACATATTCACAACGAATTTTATTTATCGATTGTGAATACTTATTACGCGCGATTGTGTACCTATTCCAATGATTGTCATTATTCAATCTACAAAACTTGTCCCTTTTCCGTTTAAGACGCAATAGATCCAAATTGTACCAGCTATTCGAGTTTTTCAAAGAAACAAACTTTTGCTAAACTAGTTGATTGGTACACGTTTTCAAACGTTAGTAATAACAGCTCTGGATTCATCTAAATTACCGGCAGCGAATGGAAAATCCACGCTTCTCTCCACAAGATTCGAATCAGCTTACTTCAACAATATCCTCCAGCACTTCAATTTTACAAAATTATCGTTATCGTTAACATGGTATAATACATTAATCACTAAGGTCTCATGATTCATAACTGAACAAATAGAATCAAAATTGGAATAAACATGATCAATTTAAGTTCTACTGTGCCGTTTGCTTTAAATTGAAAAAATCAGCTAAACGCTTCAAATGAATCGAATTATGGTTATCACGCCAATTTATATTAAAATCACCAGCCAACATATTTAATTTATTAGAATCAAGGAATGTCTCGGGCCAGTTCTCTGAAACTTCAACAAAACGCTAGTCACTAGAACTGGGAGAATGATACAAACCACCATAATTACCCATCTTCATGTCACGTACAACTGTAATGCCCAAGAACCAGTTGCCATCCATAACTTCGTTGGTACGAAGGTTGAATTGAACTGATTATTTGACATAAATAGCAACACAACTATGAGTAACTCTTACTCAATTTTGAGTCGTTCTCATTGGCGGTGCGTGCGGAATCTGTTAGTGAAGTCGTATGGCAAAGTGTTACAATCCTTTTATTAAGTTTAAAAAAAAGTACGTTATCCACCCCTACATAGTATTAAAAGGCAATCTGTTGCATACGTAACATTTTAATGGGCCCTAGGAATTCCTTTACGTCCTTCATTTATTGAGCATCACACGTTATTAATATGTTAATAGCGATAAATAATAAGCTTGTATCACTCTGATACATATTTGAATATACACGATAAACGTTGAATCCCGCACAACTTGGACCTGTAAGAGATTTAAAAAAATCTCAAATATCAACGCGTTGTTAATAAAAGTCTCTTATTCACCTTTATGTAAATCCAATCCGAATGATTCAATCCTGTGTGAAAGTGCGAACAAACGTCACAAAACTAAATGAAAATCGCTGCACCCCACACAAGTTCTAATTTTAATGCGTTCAAGATGCATTTTACCGAAAAGGTGCTACGGACTTTTCATCGGCGTGACATAAATTTATTCGGCGGCGTGAAAGATTTTACTGCGGCGGCGCGCCGGCTCAATTTCATCAGCGGCGGCGTGGCGCGGCGGCGTGGCGCGGCGGCGTGGCGCGGCGGCGTGGCGCGGTGGCGTGGCGCGGTGGCGTGGTGCGGTGGCGTGGCGCGGTGGCGTGGCGCGGTGGCGTGGCGCGGTGGCGTGGCGCGGTGGCGTGGCGCGGTGGCGTGGCGCGGTGGCGTGGCGCGGTGGCGTGGCGCGGTGGCGTGGCGCGGTGGCGTGGCGCGGTGGCGTGGCGCGGTGGCGTGGCGCGGTGGCGTGGCGCGGTGGCGTGGCGCGGTGGCGTGGCGCGGTGGCGTGGCGCGGTGGCGTGGCGCGGTGGCGTGGCGCGGTGGCGTGGCGCGGTGGCGTGGCGCGGTGGCGTGGCGCGGTGGCGTGGCGCGGTGGCGTGGCGCGGTGGCGTGGCGCGGTGGCGTGGCGCGGTGGCGTGGCGCGGTGGCGTGGCGCGGTGGCGTGGCGCGGTGGCGTGGCGCGGTGGCGTGGCGCGGTGGCGTGGCGCGGTGGCGTGGCGCGGTGGCGTGGCGCGGTGGCGTGGCGCGGTGGCGTGGCGCGGTGGCGTGGTGCGGTGGCGTGGCGCGGTGGCATGGTGCGGTGGCGTGGCGCGGTGGCGTGGCGCGGTGGCGTGGCGCGGTGGCGTGGTGCGGTGGCGTGGCGCGGTGGCGTGGCGTGGTGGCGTGGCGCGGCTGCGCACAGGTCTAATAAAAAGGGACGCAAGAACTAAAAAATGGTCAGATTTGGAGATTCGAACTTCGACTGATCCCCAATTCGCAGGATTATTGCAGTAAGCCATATTCACCTAGGGTTACCATATCAAATAATCGGAAAGGAGGACTTTTCACTCCAAAATCATAGAAAAAGGAGGACCTATTATATAGTAAAGGAGGACAAGATAAAAAACACATTTTAGGCTCCACAAACTTTATTGTATCACATTTTTATAGTAAAATTACACATTTTAACAAATCACTTGTTTAATCATACTTTTCCGAGCTTCCAATTGCATCAAGCAATTTTCCATTCCTAATCAATTCGCTATAGAAAGCAGAACATGTTACATGTTTCATGTTGTATTTCACTTGCAAGAGTGATTTAATTGAAGTAATATTCAACCTGTTTCGTTCTTTCGTCCACTGTGCGTTCATCAAAGAAAAAACCCTTTCAACGTTTGCGTTATATGCGGGGATACATACTGGCATATTACTTCTAGTTCTGAGAAAGTGCTACGATCAGGACAAGCTTTAAAAAATTTTGTAGATTGCTCATGGAGCATAAGCTCTGTAAAAAAATCTGAACCGATATCAAAACTGTCTAGAAATGAAGTAAGATTGCAAAACTGATCATATAGTTTAACATCTTCAATTTGAATACCGTGCTTGGTGAGATAGTTTATACAGGAATAAGATCATCGTAATGAATGGATTTGTAATTTCTTACAATCATCCAACGGAGCATATTAATTTCTGCAAGTGGTTGAATCCATTTTTCCATATAATTTAAGCAAGCTTTGTAAACCTCTTGAAACTCATTTCCCATTTTCTGCTTCTCTGTTACAGATACCTTCAGTTCATTGAAAAGCTGTTTAATTTTCAATGGAATAAACTTGTCTTTGATGCGGTTGCGCAGTAAACGTAAAATATTTTCAATAATAGAAATAACCTCAAGCACCGAATTTCCCCCTCTTTCGATCGATGCCAAACTTGTTTGGAAAACAGACATTAGAGAGTGCGCGAACCACAAGTAAATTTCAGAGTTTGCATTTTCAAAAAACGATTTAATTAGTTGTGGTGGCTGAGTTTGGGACATAAAGTAGTCTTTGAGAGCTGAATAAAGCTTAAGAATTCTTTCCACTGCGGGAAATAGACTCAACCATCGAGTTTTGCTATGACTCAGCAAAGGTTGGTAATTAAGTTCCACGTAATCACAAAACTCTTTGAGTGCCTGAGTCCTTACCGTGTAAATCGAAAAAAAGTTAAAAATCTTCAATGTTATAGACTCCACATCCACAGTCATAAGATCAATGCCATGATGAAGACTGTTGTGAACTATGTGTGCAGGGCAGCCGACACCAACTAAATTTGGGTTTTGCAAACTTTCCATCAGCAAAGTGAGAACGTTTCGACCAGGATTGATGCCACCAAAATTTACATTTGCGTTATCCCCTGGAAATGCAATGAATTTTTCAGCCAGTCCATGGGTCTTTAAGCACGTGAGTAAATACTCAGCAATTGTATTAGAAGTCTCATTTGGTAGGCTGCTTACATCAATCAATTTAGTTTCGATTCCAAGACTCACCCAATTGTAGAACTGAATGATGACAGGAAATATCTTCTCAGCATTGTGGTTGCTTGCATCTGTAGCGACAGAGATGAAACGAATGTCCTTTAATGTCTCCAAAGTTTTCTGCATAGTGTGGGGTGCGATGACACGGTTCACGATGGCTTCGGTTTTCGTTCGGGCACATTTAAGATTTTCAGCAATTTTTGAATCGTTGAATAGCTGTCGCAGCAGGCCTGCAGTACAATCCATTGACTTGAACGATTGATGGTGCTGAACTGTGTGGAATGCCAAAGTTCCAGCAACTGCATTCGCTTTTTTTACGGCTGATGATGCAACCGGTTCGAAAAAAGAAGTAAATTTTGATGTCGAGGCAGATGCACCAATCATTTGTATGTGTTTATCCGATCGAATATGACGTTCTAATGCCACTGCGCCCTTATTGCCAACGTCGACGTGGCAATCGCAAATTATGCATTTCGCGTCATACTCGCCTCGACCTTTAGAAAAGCATGTGAACTTCTCCTGCAACACGTTGGAAAATTTGCACTTTCGCTTCGTGCTCATCGTACTGAAAAAAAAAAAGAACATCGAAGTGAACACTGAAAGTTGCTTATCTTAAGTAAAACATTATTCTGTGTTTTTTTTTACCTTCGGTGGCTCTTATTTCTATGATAGTATAACAAAACACAAGATGAAGGTGGTCGTGGACAGAAAGTAAAAGCACAACAGGAACTAGAAAATTAAAAATTTCTTCATTATTTGCATACAGCCTTATTCTTTCAACATTTGCTTACATAACATATGAAACGAAATATGCAGTTAACGTACGAAAACATTCACTCCGTGGCTGTATGACGTTTTGACTTTGCTTTGAAGGGACGGAAGAAAAAATCGTCGCTGGTGAATCACACAATCGCATCAATGCTTGATGTACTCTTTACTCATATGGTAGAGGATTTGTCTTATCTCTTCACTCCATCGAAGAGGTGAACATGGTAAGGCTCAATGAGGTACAGAGAGAGGTGAAGCAGATCGTGAAATATTGTTGTATTAGTAAACCAAAAAATCAACGGAAACGCAAGTAGTGACGTCACTAATTGCTTGTATCGTACAGGGGTTTTACTCACACAACTTAACCGATTGCTTCACCTCGGTAATCCAGCTCATTGAGTACGGCTAACGAAAGGTGGTGAATATTGGCAAACGTCAAAAAATGCTCATTGTACCCGTTAGTGAAATGCATTTGATGATGTGGCATGAAACCAGTGTTGTCAATTTAACTTTTAAAATTTTGTTTGAAATAGTGATACAAACAAAGCTTAATCGTAAAAGGAGGACATTTTGAGGTGAAGGGAGGACAAAAAACTAAAGGATGAAAAGGAGCACATGTCCTCCTTTAGGATACCATATGGTAACCCTATATTCACCTGTGGAAGAACGTCTGCAAGCATGCCTTCACATCAACAAGCTTTGCAACGTCAATGATTGTTGAACACAGTATTCACTCCACCGTCAGTATTCATAGTAGCCATGGTTACAATGAATACCATGTTCTGTACTAGCTTGTAAAAAGGAAATTAAATCTAATAAATAGGTCCAGTGGATTTTTCATGTTCATAGTTTTCACGAAGGAAACAATCAATCCTTTGAAAATAAAACCCAAAATATTCATTTAGGATCTGATTAGGGGATTGCAAAGTACAAAAGTGCTAACTTTAACCGTTTTAAACAAAGGAAGCCGAGAATCGAAATACTTCCGAAGATCGATTTTCACGCTGGAAGATCATAGACGGGGTGATATTGGGCCAAAATGTAAAAAAATGTTTATTTCTGTAAATATCATGAATATATAAAAAAAAGATGAATAGAATATATTAGCTGTAGAATTAAGTTTCAAAAACACGTTTTTTAAACCGTCCACAGGTAAACAAAAGTTTAAACACACTTTTATGTGGATCTTGAGCCATAGTTGTGGTCAGAACCACGTGTATTCTTAATAGCTACGTTACATTTACATACTTTAAGATATTTTAATCAAATTTATGTTTTGGTCCAATGTCACCTTGTTTTACATTGGTTCATTTTTTATTTAATTTTTGTAAAATGAGATATCAATTTCAATCAACCATTTCCACTTACAGTACCTCTTAATACCATAGTTTTTGCCGATTATTTGCAATGTGGATTACGATATAGTGTTTTTCAGAAAGATGGCTTGTTCTGGAAATGTAATTAAATACATAAATCCCCAGACTCTACAAGCCATCTCTACTGCATCCACTGATGAGAAACAGCCCACATGCTCCCGAGCAACAGTAGCTAAAGGTCAGCGAGCGTGAAGTTTATTTCCCAGTGTCATAAGTTGTTGCGCTCTCAAAGTTACGACACTTTCATTAACTCAGCCGGCTGACTGATCTTAGTCACGAAGTTTTCCCGTCTTTCATCGAATGCACAGTGCATCCGTAATTTACCGTTGGCCACGTTTCGCGTCCCAGCATCTTCCACTGACGACGAGGATGAGAAACAGTTTAGCCATCCATCTTTCCCGAATTACATAACACCATTCAGCGTCCGTGTGATGCTAGGACTCGCTGCCATGGCTTGGATGGAACCTGCAAAAGCGAAGCACACTCCAGAGTGAGTGTCCGCCAAAACAGCCATCCTCCTGTGCAGCACGTTGTCGTAAAAAGATGAAGCAACATGACAAACGTGACAAACAGCAAGTCTAGTGCGTTAAGAGTGCCACAGGATGGCGAAAAAAGAAAACCAGAAGAATCGTCCAAGCTGCTTTTCCTTGGTTTCTTTATTTTCTTTTTACTCCAAGATCTTCTGCTACTATTCTACATCTGTGGAATATTTATAAGGAACTTAATTTGATACAGGTGTGTCATTTTGGTCCAATATCGAGAGCCACTTTTCTTTGAAGTGATGTTTCTGGTCGTGCTTGCTCAACTTTCTGGCAGGTAGTCAAGGTTCCTGTTTCTTCTTTCCTGTAAGTAAATCATCGCTTGTTAGTTGAAAAAAAAAGCTAGATTTAAACCTCAGAGAGGAGGCATTTTTTTCATACTCATTCATATTGTTCACTTGGAAAAACACAAAAATCTAACTTTGGTGGATATAATACGAGTTTATCTAGGAGTCTAGGACTGTTTTTCCCCTTGGGATATATTTTGTCAAATGTTCCCTGACTCATTAAATTGGGGAATGTATTAGTAAAAACCGCATCTGTAAGGAATAAAACGACATGTAAAGATGATAAAATGTTGTCATCAGAACACTTTTCAAATAATTGTGTAAAAGTATGCTTAGCTAATTTTATGAATTAAATACGTTCTCTCCAATACATTAAACCTAGAAAACTATCTTATGACATTAACACACCGAACACGATGCCTCCGTTGAAATGCGTAATGGAAAATTGA